TGAAGATATGTGTCATACAAAAGCCTCAATGGCAACTAAGTTATAGTTCTCATTTGCTGTTGTTGAGTATAGTAAAGTCAGAATCCCTCGCATACCCAACACTACCACAGGTTTTCAGAGGCAGTTAAACCCAGGAGAGGAGATTGCTAATCTTTCTCCCACTGAGCAGCTGGTGGCCTCAAACCACTTGCCTTTGGGATTGCAGCATAGCTTCTTGCCACCAGGCCACCAGAGCTAACAAAAACGAAGAACAAGAAATCAGTTTGTGGTGGTGACTCAGGGTTCATATGGGGACCTTTTAGATTTTAGGCATAAACCCAAAACAAACAGTTGAAAATGGGATGGTGAAGGATAAATGTAAGGGGTGAAATTCTAAGTACAAAAGACATATGTATACAGCTTGAAGACACAGCATGATATCATATTGATAAGTACAGAGAAGAAGGCTCAGACATCATCTCAGAGATTGTTGATAAAGGAGGATGAAAAAGGAAGAGTTAGATGATTAAACAACTTTGCAATCAGAGACAGGAGGATTTTGAGTTGAGAGACAATGAAAAAAAAAAATAAAGACATTTTCAATAATGGTGGAAGGCTCTAGTCTCTGGGTAGGATAAATGGTTGACTGAGTAGACAGATCAGAGTGGTGAGCGCTGGTGGCCTAGTGGCAAGAAGCTGTACTACAATTCCAAAGGCACATGGTTCAAGGCCATCCGCTGCTCCACACAAGGATGGTACCTGCCTGTGAAAACCTGCCAGAGGGCCAGCGTACTCTATGCTACACAACAAGTAGGCAGATAATAAAAAAATACGAGGCTCTGTCTAACCACAGGTCCTGCTAAAGAAAAAAGACTTTTTATCTCTGAGAAGGTCAACCATTTAAAACCCTATGGAATATTTTGTTCTACACACAGGGTACTCCCCCCACCCCCCAATCAGAGGTGACTCCATTGTAAACGTTAGGAAGGTGAAAACAAGTGAAAAGGTTTTTGGTAAGAAAAGGAAGAATCAACATATCTATAGCATACTGTTGACTAGGAACTGACCTGCCAGGCAATTTAATCACACAAGCAGAGACTGCCCATCTGTGGAGGAGTTGGTGGATTCGAACTATGTACGTTTGCATTGGCAGTGCAGTTCCTTACCATTAAGCCACCAGAGCTTCAGAGCAAGAGCAAGAGAACTCAAGTGTGCACATTAGAGTGGCAAGAGAAAGAGAGAGAGGGAGAGAGAGACAGAGAGACTAAGAGACAGAGAGAGAGAACCAAGTAAGAGAGATACAAGACAGCAGAAAAGAAACAATGAGATGGATTCAAGTACAGCTCCAATTGTGAAGATGGCATTAGACAGAGCACTGTCTTATTCCTTTGTACACAGGGTTGTTAGGATTCTGATTTGACTCAGTCACGTCGAAAACAACAAATGACAACATTAGTGGGAGTCAGCGGGTCACACGAGATGATATTTCTTCTTGGAACGCTTATCTACAGGCAGAGAATCCTGTGTCAGTACAGACGGTTTCAACCGGGACGGGTTGGCAACTTGCAATGAGTCTAAATTGAATTTTCTGAGTTTAGAAGCACTGAGAAAAGCTTAGGATTTCAAGCAAGATGGGGCCCACCGAGACAATCTGTGAGTTTTAGGTTTTTCATAAAGGACAATCCTTTGTTGCAGGCCACCAAGTAGAGTCTTCTAGTGGATTCCAATTCTGTCTCTTTTTAGTTAATTATAAGTAGACCAGATAGAATGTGGTGGGTGTGGTGTAGTCTCAGCCTCTCCGAGAAACTCTTAAGCTGCAAACGTCTCCATTTGATAGTTAAGACATAAACTTATCAATCTTCCCTGCATGTAAAACCATCATCTGGCGTGGTCTCTTTAGAAAGAATCAGAATACAACATGTCCTCGCCTTTGTGATAAATGCTGCTTCTTCGCAAAAGGAACACACTGTTTCTCAGCAAAATACCTAAGAGAATTTGTTGAATATTTTAGGAGCCATTACAGATTTTGTAATATTTAGACAAAGGTAGAGTGAACAAATGGAGTAGAGCAAGATTTCAGCCCATTTGCAATTACTTCATTAAGTAGTCATATCTCTGCAGCACCTTAATGAGGTGGCAATGAGGTAAAAACGTGCATTGGCGAAAACCTTCTGGAAAAGATAGCTCAGTAGAGTGATAATGAGGGTGAAAAAATATTCTATTGCCTTGACTTATATTCTTACATTTTAGAATGTATAAACCTATAGTCCTACATTTAGGGAAGTATATACCTATTCTTTAGGGAGCTCTGGTGGCCTAGTGGCAAGAAGCTGTGCTGCAATTCCAAAGGCACACGGTTTAAGGCTGTCAGCTGCTTCACGGAAGAAGGATGGGAAATCTGCCTCTGAAAACCCACCGGAGGGTCAGCTATGGGTCAGTTCCAAGTTGAACATGGCACAACAACAACATGCCTATTCTTTAAGTCTTGGTGGGTCCATGAGAAATATTAAGTAGTTTCATTGGGAAGATGGGTATACAAAATCTTGAGAGAGTGAGAGGGGAGAGAGAAACCAGAGAATAAAGGAAGATACAGAGGAAGGGAGTAAGAAAGAAAAAAAAAATAGTAACACTCCATTTCTCTTTTACTCACTAATAACAGGATGAAAGTAGCATCAAAGTCTGGCAAAAGACATTATAATTTGGAAAAAGCAAGGGATCAGAGAAAAGGAATGAGTGCAACGATGGTCTTTTAAACACAGTGGAAGCTGGGAAGATGGCATAGATCAGTGAGGCATTCATTCAATAGTACTTAGGGTCGCTGATTCGAGAACACCCAACACCACCATTGCCAAAATAATTTTCTCATTTAATGTGTGGAGAATAGGCGTAGGTGGCCTATACTCAACTCAGCCACTCCTGCTGAGTATACTCCAACCCACAGCAGCACTCCACTGCCTTTCAAACAGTGCACATCTTAACAAGAGGAGTCTGTTAATAAAGAAAAAGATGTGGTGAAAGTATTTTTCATCACTGATATTTAGGGAACTATGGCGTAAGCTATCCATGCTGTCGAAGATTATCTAAACAAGTCATGAGAACTTGAATGAGAATTGCATCGAAGATGACGTGGAGTAACAGCTGCTCGTGCTCTGCCTTCTTTGCTTAACTTTGCAAGAAAAGTGGTGAAGGAACAGGGTATAACTGTGCCCTCAAATAGATATTCATTTGGACAATTCATCTAGAGTTACTAGTTTTCACTCTCATGCCTCAAACATGGGAAGTCACTGAATCATTCTTCCTCGGAGTACCTAGTAGGTTTGAATCACCTCCCTTTAGGTTGGTAGTGCTACTCCTTAACCAGTAGGCCCCCAGAGCTTACATCAAACAACTATGTCAAACACATCATTAACTAAAACACATCAATATTGGTAAAATCAAAACAGGGAGTCTCTCAAAGTATCTATTTTCCAGCAATACCATCAGCTATGTAACTACTACATTCTCATGGTGAGTTCAGAAAAAAATTCACCTTTCTCAAAAAGCAATCTTCAAGCTGCTCCACTGAATCAAATAAAGTGTACTTTGAAAAGAAATTCCAGTACATTTTATTTTCAGGCTTTTATATACACAAGGCTAGAATTTGTTATTCTTAGATTTCCTATGATAAAATGTTGTTATGTGCCGTCTAGTCACCTGCGACTCATAGCAACCCTAGGTACAACAGCCCTAAACCTGCTTTGTCCTGTGCCAGCTTCACTGTCTCTGACACTCCCATCCCAATTACCCCAGTCATTGAATCAATCCACCTCATAGAGGATCTTCCTCTCCTGTGTTGTCCCTCCACCCTCCCAAGCATGATGTCCCACTCCAAGGACTGGTCCCTCCTTACAACATGTCCAAAGTATGTCAGATGAAGCCCCAGAATCCTTGCCTCCAAGGAGCAGCTTGCTTTCACACTACCTAGGATGAACCTGTTCAGTTTCTTAGCAGTCCATGGTACATTCAACTGGAAAACTTCATTAAGAAGATTCCTTGTATAGAAAGTATTAAATGGTGTATCAAACTTAACATGCTTTTGCAGGTAATTTTTCTTCAAACATTAGAAGTGGATGTACGCAAATTTAACTTAGCAACATGCAAACAAACCATATGAAGAAGGTTGTTGCTTCCTTGAAGAGAAAACAAATTCATTTTATGTAATAATAAATGCCTCTAAAGAGTTTGTTTTTCTTTATGTACCAGGTATCTAGAGAACTCTCCACAAAGATCACAATTCACATTTTCACTGACATATTTATGTTGCCTATAGAAACCATTTAAAATAATCCAGGAGTCCTTGAATAGCACAAATGTTTAAGTACAGGACTAAAACAAAAAAAGTAGATATTTAACCACAGGCATTGTGGAAGAAATGCTTGGCCAATAGCACCTTCAAGAATATGTGGCATCGTCCTAATCTGCACAACTGATGGCATTGCCACAGTGATCACAAACACATTGATTTGACAGCAACAAACAACAGCAATAAGCTTAGAGATTTATACATTTAACCATAACTAGATAACTAGAGTAGCTTCTCAGATAACACAATAAAAATCCATTACTATGAAATGAATCCATTACTACAAAACGAATCAACATATAGTAAAATTATTAACATCAGAAAACCAATCCTTTCATAAAGTCAGTTCCAACTCATCGTGACCCTCCATCGGGTTTCAGAGCTATAAATCTTTCCCATCTTTCTCATGTAGAGTGGGTTGCGATTTGAACCGCCAACCTTTGGTTAGCAGCCTGACACGTTGTAGACTACGCCACAACTACAGCTACCTGTTAAAGGTATTATCAGTGTCAACAGTAGAACACCTTCACAGGAGCAAATCTAATAAAATTTGAGAGAACAACCCATCTGTTGATGGAAAAGAGAAGCAGAACTGTAAAATTCAGAGAAGTCAAAGCGACAGCAGATGAGTCAGAGGGAGAAATTCTTAGGTTTGTGGAACAGAGAAAAACAGACAGACCTCTGGAGGAAACGGGCTCCGTGTGGGGTCAGAGGAGGTGACATAAGCAGCCTGCGTGTAGGCATAGCTCTTGAACCGAGGTTTTGGAGACGAAGAGGTTCGCTCATAGCCCTGCGCTAGACTGACAGTGATCTGCAGAGGGGAATAAAAAGAAGGAAGCAGAGAGAGAAGAGACATTGTCAATGACCTTGGAGGCATCCTGTGTCCATGCACTAGAGAAATGGGCATGCAATAGAAAAGGCAAGATGAACATTTCATCCTAAATACATGTTGTTGATTGCCGTCAAGCATGATTCGGTGATGCTATGAACAAAATGCCTGAAGCCTTTCTATATAATTATCAACATTTATCAAAGTTCATAGAGTTTCCAGAGGCATATTATTTAGGAAGTGGATGCTACTCCTGCTTCCAATAATAATAAAAATAGATAGCAGCACATTCCAAGAATTGTGGTAGTGGACGCTATGTTGGTGTGCAGGGAATCGGGGAAGAAAGGAAGGTGGGATTAGACCACAAATATCCCTTCCAGACTTTGGGACTAATATGGGACAGTGCTCTTCAGTCGAGAGAAAGAAAGAAAAAAAAAGGCATTGAAAAGCAATTTTCTCTGAACGCAGAGTAAACAAAGCCAGAACCCATTCGGTCAATACCCTGGAAAAGACTGAAGCTTTCATAAGCTAAATATAGAACCAGCTCAGTAGAGTGAGAAAATTAGGTCTAAGAGCTTTCGACGCCTTCAGCAGAAATTCCGCTAAAGGCTTTTTCATTGTTTTTGTCTAGGAAAGTACAAGAAAACACCCCAAAATGTTCACAGTTAAAGCGAACAAAAAACAAGCCAATGTAATAGAAGAGTCCCAGTGTATTCTGATATAATTAAGAACTTGCATTCCTCATTAAAGTTTTCTTTGAAATATTATAATTACTAGTTCTCTCTTTTTTTAAAAAAAATGCTATCTTGAATGCTGAAGATATATTAGTACCTCAGTGACTTTTCATCAAGCGGAGAAAATTATAAAGCTGAATGGACACCTTTGCTTTTTGCTTAAGCTCTCTGCATTTGCTTTTATCTGATGGGGATGTTAATGTGTATGTTGGCCTGTCTTTTCTTTCCTTTTCTTTTTACAGAAGGGAAATTCACAGACTAGGTCTGCCCCATATTAGTATAATATGGTGTATAAATACCAGAGTAGTTTAGCATGTATATATAACAAAGTACACACAAATTGGAATGCATTTCTGATATTATTTGACTTACCTGCTGAGAATAGTGCATCTGATGATGTAATTGAAAATGCTCTTCTTGAGTAACTTTTGATGGTTTTGGCAACATTTCTACTTCCTGGATGGCTTCGATGCTCACTTGTTGAGGCAACACTTGGAAGAGTGATGTGACGTACATTAAGATGGACTTCTTATCAGGGTAAGTGGTGGCAACATCTGTAAGCACATTAACATCACACATCAATTTTTTTGTTTTCTGCATTTGAGACTCTGAGAGGAAAATGAAGAAGACAGATTAATGAGTACTCAATTGTCCATGAATGTCCTCCAGACATTAATTAGAACATGATAATCAAGCCTAAAATGTTGTTCCAATTTGGCAGACCAATGAGAAGAGCACTAAAGTTAATTTTCTGTCCTTGTTCACATTTAAAAAAAAAAATTTGATCATACTCCTTCCCAAGTCAAACTGCCAAACTAGCTTATCTTTGAGATTAACTTTCCCTAGCCAAGAAAACAGAAATAAAAGGTTATTTTTCCCCCTTTCCCTTGAAAGTTCTATTAGCATGCCAATGAAAATAGGACTTTCTAATTAAACAATTAAACAAAAGATGTGGCTTTTACTTCCAATAAATAAAGTGGGCATCTCTCAATCAAATATTGGCTGGTGGTAAAATAAGCGCTATGGTGAAAGATAGAAGGTGTTTGAAATGTACTGTGTATTTCCAAAAGAAAATGTAAATAAATTCAACACTGCAATAATCCATAAATACAATGACTGGTCATATTTATGGACTAATTAAAAACATTTGATGGTGTATAGGTCAAAGGTGGATGCAACTTTCATCCTTAAAGCTTTAAAGAGAAATTATTAAGTCTTTTACAAAAGAGTAGATAATCCTTTGTGTCCTCTGCCGCATTCAAGAAAGGAAAGAAGTGCAGCATTTAAACATAATAGCATATTATAAAGGGAGTTCTGGAAACATAGTCTGTAGGAAGTTGTATTGCTAGACCAAAGGCCACATCTTTTTGTTGGTTCAAATCCACTTGTGACTCTGAGGGACACAGATGGGCAATCTCTTCCTGGACAATGTAACGCCTCAGAAACCCAAGGGAAGGCCAGCTATTTGTTAATCGGTTCAATCTCAATGGCAGTGAGTTGACTTGAATATATTTTAATAAGATGTATGAAGTGGAATTATAGCTCCTTCAAGAGGTTCCGTTTGCTATTTGGCACTGCAATTTCCCCAATAGTGTGATTTGCCAAAATTCATGCCAGGGGAGCAAGATGTAAAAATAGTCTTTCATGTGAATCATATAATAATCTCAGAGTCATTAAACATAAATTGTGGCAGGCCAGGGATACGTAGGGGTGATAAGGCAGCACATTGTCCTTGCCACATCTCTATCTTCAAACTCTATGCTCTAACATTCACTGATCTGCTTTATTTAAATATGGTTGTTCTGGCCAGGCATTCGGACTACGAGTGAAAAGGACAAGAGTAATATCAGAACCTTACTAGTATAAAGGAGGCCACTCAGTCCAGCATTTCCCAACTTAGTACTACAATGATGAATCAGGGCAACAATTTTTTTAAAAAGTATTTCTGAAAAGAGGTACAAGGGAGAGAAAAGGACTAAGGCGCCTTAGTCGGCTTCTACCCACAGCAGACTAGGGTTGTTCTCACATTTTAATGTGCATGTGAATCACCTGGGGACCTTTTTAAAATACAGAGTCTGATTCAGAAGGTCAAGGGTGGAACTTGAATCTCTGCATTTCCAACAAGGTCCCAGGTGATGCAGCTGCCTTTGGTCTGAGGACCAGGCTTTGATTAACAAGGGGCAAAAACCAAGGCCAGATTGGAGTCTCATTGCCTGCATATGCAGACTATTACAGCGACAGCTACCATTTTATTGTTTGACTTATTTCTTCAGTGGGTTATTTACTGAATCCTTCTTATACACACACGGTTTAGAATTACTAAGAGACATAACCTATATTTCTACTCCCTATTTTACTCTATTATCCAACAGACTGCAAAGAGGGTATTTTATTTTCCTTGCCAATGCATCTTAAGGAAGAACTAAAGTCTCTTTGTATGTGCATAATTTTAAGATACACCCAGCAACCTTAGCTTTCAAATTCTGAAGAAAAGTTTCCATTCATCTGACAGTGATTTTGTCACTGTTAAATGTTTAGAGGATGCTATATTTCTTACTTTTGTACTTTCTAACTATAGAATGTTAATATTCTATTAATATCATCTACTTTAACTTTGATGAGCATAATTTAGCATTCCATTTCTTTTTCTAATGTAGTAAAGAAAGCCATACTGTAAGAGAGGCATTGGGTTTAAAAATATTTATCCTGTGGCTATACCTTGCTATGTTATACATAGAAGTATGCATGTATAGATTTGACCTCAATTATATCCCATGATAAAAGGAATTAAAATTAAAAATAGACCAAGTTATAGTTATTGCCCCAGGAAAATGTCAGAATTGGAATAAATTATGGGTTGGATCCAACACAACAGTACACAACAACAAAAACAAATAAAATGTAGATTGAATAGAAATTGTCATAAATATCAGCCATTATAATCAATACATTGTATTCCACCACATATATCTGGGTATGTTTTGGATAATGTGTAGACCTTAGTGCCAGTTGATGGAGTCCAACATATTTTTGTCCAAATAAAGATCTTTCAACATCCCAAACTATAGTGTATTTTTTCGAATCTATAGATTTGTCAAGAGGTTAAAAATATAGGAAGCTTATAAATACTACTGACCAGGAATTATTCATTCATTTGGAATAAGCAAAGAGCCCTTGTGGGGCTACTGACGTTAAAGGCTGATAGTTCACACGCACAGGAGAAGGATGGGCAATCTCTTCCCATAAAGATTGACAGCCTCAGAAAGCTGACGGAGGGTTAATATGAATAAGAAATGACTCATGGCAGTGGGTTTGTTTTTAGCTTTTTAAAATAACCACAGAAACACAAATTAGTCACACTGCTGAATGGACTTGAAAATGGGTGCCTCCAATTGGCACAATCTATAAGTCCAGGCAAGGAAGTAATGTTATATGATCAAAGAAAATTCTTGGTGCCTAGGAGATGTACATGAATGATGTATATTTTTTATGAGAAAGGGTGCAGCCAGCAGCAGTATATCATGAGCAAAAATTTCAGCATCATGGCAGATTATACACACTCTGGAACAACATCTTCAGGGATTTAGCCCCTACAGAAGGGAAATGAAAAATACAATAAAGAATGTAGGTAGAATTAGTCGAAGAGCAGGTAATATTTCCTTCCATTGTGGGTAAGATCACATGAGGAGACACTTCAACATCATCTAACTTCACCACTATACACAAAGCTTAGCCCATGAGAGATTATCAGTTTTAGGCTTCTGGTGGTCTAGTGCTATCGAAGCTGTGCTGCAATCCCGAAGGCATGTGGTTTGAATCCACCAGCTGCTCTATGAGAGGAGGATGGGAAACCTCCTCCCAAGCAATTAACTGCCTCTGAAAACCCATCAGAGGGTGAGCTATGGATTGGTTCCGACTCAATGGTACACAACAACAACAGCAACATATTCTAGGGAGCTCTGGTGGTCTTGTGGTAAGAAGCTGCGCTGCAATCCCAAAGGCACTTGGTTCTAATCCACCAAATGCTCCAAGGGAGAAGGATGGGTAGTCTCCTATGTGATGTCCTTCCTCTAAAAACCCGCTGGAGGGTCAGCTAGGAATTGGTTCTGACTTCACAGCACACAATGATCATAACATCACATAACAGAAATGCAGAGAAACATTATGGATTGGGTGTCAACACTGACTCTTGGTACTCTGTGAGCACTTAAATGTTAGTTAAGCAATGGAATAAAGAGAATAGCTGAAACCATAGAAATTGAGGAGAATTGTGTCAGACAGTGACTGATGAAAAGCATTAAAAAAAAGTATATATAATGAGGACAATAGCATTTGAAGAGCATGAAAAAGATGGGATCTGATTTATCCTTTTTTATTATAAGGCATTAACATTGTATGAAATGAGAGAAGTAGCTGAACCCCCAAAATGTGAACTTACATGAAAGTGATTTATTTTTTTACTAAAATCCGACTATATATAAAGCTCCAGTTGCCACAAAAGTTTAAATTAATAATTTCTAATTCAGCCTTAGAAGTCAGCTCAGAATGAAAGTACTGGGAACTCATAACAGTGCTAGAATATTTGATGTTATGAACAATCACACTGATTCTGACGAGAGTGTCTGTACTGATCAGAATCTTGATATTGGGACTACTGGAGAGCAAATAAATCACACAGTGGAATGACATCAACTTGCAATAAGGAAATTGCAGTGCAAAGTGGTTTGCTGGCATGTTTGAAAGCAAGACAAAATCAGAGCTTGAACCTAGGTGTTCCATAACACTGCCTTGGTACCTTACTCTCTCTGAAAATGCTAACTTGTAGTGTAACCCAAGTACATAAAATATTATTATCTAATTGGTGACCCTGTATCCAATAGTGTTTCATTACTAAGTATTACCTTCATGTTCTCTAAAAGTGGAAGGATAAAGACAAAAGGGTAAAAACTAATGCTGAAGAGGCTTCAGGTATTTGGGTAAACCCCTTGCCAGATGAGAACTAATTGTTTGAATTTGCTAAAAAAAATGATTTGATGATGGGTTTCAAAAGCTGTACTAGCATTCATATTCAATAGCCCAGGGATTTGTCTCCTAGAAATCTGCCTCAAGGAAATAAGCTTAAATGAAGATTTATATAAATTTGATGGAAAATTTAAATTTATTTATAATACAGTAAAGGAAGAAGGCAAAATGACTTTATCATAGAAAAAATTGGAGCTGGTGAATGATGCTGCTATGAACATTGGTGTACAAATCTCAGTTCATGCCTCAATTCTCATATTCTTAAGGGTATATTTCAAGTCATGGAATGGCTGGGTCATACGGAATTTCTATGCTCAGCTTTTTGAGGAAGCTCCAAACTGCCTTCCAGAATGGTTGTACAATTGAACAGTCCCACCAACAATGTATACTAGTTCCTTTCTTGCCACATCCTCTCCAACATTTATTACTTGCTGCCCTGTTAAACTTTGCCATTGTTACTGGAGTGAGATGGTACCTCATTGTGGTTTTGATTTGCATCTCTCTTATTGCCAGTGATTTGGAGCATTCACCA